GGTAGGGGAAAAATCAGAAGCTGATAACAATGGCTCAAATAGAAAGAAATGTTTTGAAAATGATGATGGCAACAAATGTACAAATGTGCTTGACAGGATGGATGGATGGATTGTGATAAGAGTTGTACGAGCCCCCCATAAAATGATTTTTTTTTAATGTGCAGTTACTTCTCTGAAAACTGAAAAGTTACCAAGTCATAAATGTCCCAGGTTTGTTCTTCCCTAAATTACAAATGTGATCAATTTAAAATTTACCATATGAACAGTAAAGAGATCCTGCCGGTTCAACATTGGCAGAAAGTAGGACCAGGCAGTGTTCTTGCTACGTTTTGCATAATCAAAGAAAATGCTAACACGCTGGTGATTCTCCTGAAAGAAAAAAAAAAGACACTAATCAGAATACATTTCACTAAACGATATAAAACCTGTGAATTGCTCTCAAAATTTCATTTGAAGATCAATTTAAGTGAACATGAGTCTTCCCCCCCACACCCACCCCCAATGTGTGTAGATTTTCTGTTACTTTTGTTACGGGCAGGTAGATAGTCTTTAAAAAAAAAAAAAACACCTACTTTTAATTATTCTGCTTATTCTAAATCAATTGAGGCAGGATAGGAAATGCAGTCCTGCAAGGTGAAAGAAAGCCTGCACCTCTGGTCTGCCCTTCCCAGTGTTGCTATGTTGACAGAGGTGGGCACCTGCTTCTACACACATGAAATCAGGAGCAGGCAGAAACATCACAAATGGAACTCTAGAAGCACCTCAACTACTTACAGGTTGATTAGGGGAGTTGATTTAGACAAACATATGCATTCAAGGTTAATCCTAGCCTATCACAATAAAAAAAATCAGGGGTGCATAATGACAGGATTTGAAGAAGAGTGAATTCTTCTTTGAGATCCTGTAAACTTCACCTCTCACTTAAGACTTTCTCTGCATATCACTGGCTGAAATCTATGTTCTGGTTCATTATGAGAGTATATTTGCTAACAGCAATGTTTGCTAAAGGCTCAAATAATCGCACATAGAACAATTAGCATTTTTAAGTCAAAATTTAATTTTTACAGTTACCTACTTGAGGAACAGACTATCATCTAACTAAGTAATGAATAGTTATAATATATAGTATTATTATTTTATCAAAGGGCACAAAATTCAGACAGTGCATTTTCACTCTTTTGGTAGATGATTTCTAAAGGAACAACTGTAATTCTCATTGTAATGTAAATGAACAAAGTATTCTACATAAAGTTCAGAACACTATTAGATAAGAAACATTATATAAGTTTAAAGTCTCAATCAGGTTCTTGCTGATTTCTATTCCTCATAAAGCTACGCAATGGATAGAACACACCCAGCCACCATTCTGCCAGGTACTCAGGGTTCAACCCTTTAAGAGAATATGGATAACATCCCTCTAGTCAGAAAAACTTAGCAATTGCTGCTGGATCCAAGTACAGAAAACAATTTGATCCTCAAGCTCATGTACTAGAAACTAAATACATGAGGAAAAATAAGCAAACTATTCTGTCCAAAAACAGTCTCTTCAGAAGTTATACCAATGAAATAACTGAAAAGTGGGGGGAAATTAATTCATAACAATTTTTAAATAGTACAAAGAGACACATGGTAAGTATATGAATTTCTCAATTAAAATATAATTTTATAAATGAAATTGCTCAAATATATTGGGTTGGTAGCTGAGGACAACAGCACCGACCTAGCTCTGAATCTCTCAACATACCCCACCCACACACACACAATTGACAACACAGATTAACAAGAGGAAAAGAAAAAATGAACAAAACTCAGAGCCTAAGAATAGAAGTTAACACAAACTCCCAATTAAATGAAAATAGAAAAATTAGTACTGTATCCAAGCAAAGCGCTCTCTGATGCTTCCAACTAACACTTTTTTAAACAGTTGGGTCCTTCAGGAAAATCCGCGTGGAGGAAAGAATATGGCTCAAGAAGAGGTCCTACCTTGAGGGAACCACCAGAGACTTATGAAAAGTCAGGGAGCTGAGTAAGGGAAGCACAGAAAGGAGTTACTTTTGAAAAAGAAAGAGAAGCATCTTTTTGAGATTTGACCTTAAAGAGAAAAACAAACAAACAGGAAATCAAGGGCCCTCTAACACAATAGAGAACCAAAACTATCAAAATGCACATAATCCACGACTCAACGAAAACAAAAACTGTCATCCAATTGAGTAACTGGTTGACATTACAAAAACAAGCAGAGGGCTCTTGGGCTATGAATCTTGTAAACCACGCCGAACTCATGACGTGAGCAGCCTAAGAAGTTACCATAAAATGAAATTAGAAGATGTAGAGCAAGATCTCTCAGCTGATGAATTTTCCCTAAAAAAAACCCAAAAAACTGTTACCACTCCAAATTGAATTGGATGTCTTGAAACAAGCATTTGAGAAAGTGAAAAAAATCTTGAACCAAAAACTGAAAAGCAAAATTGAGAGAAAAGTAAAATATCAAACCTAACCTTAAAAATCCGTAGTTGTTTACGATGCACACAGTCAAATGCCATGGCATCGAGTCAATAAAACACAAGTAAACATCTTTCTGCTATTCTTTGCTTTGAGCCAAGATCCATCTGACATTAGCAAGGGTATCCAGTTCCACGTCCTCTTCTGAATCTGGCCTGAACCTCTGCAGCTCCCAATGTACCACTGCAACCATTATAGGATGATCCTCAGCAAAATTTTACTGGCATGTGGTATCAATGAAACTGTTCTACAGTTGAGCATTCTGCTGGGTCACCTTTTTTGGAATGGGCACAAATATGGATCTCTTCCGGTAAGTTGGCCAAGTAGCTGTCTTCCAGAGTTCCTGCCATAGATGAGTGAGTGCTTCCAGTGCTTCATCAGTGTGTTGAAACATTTCCATTGGTATTCCACTGATTCTTGATAACTTGTTTTTGGCTAATGCTTTCAGTGAAACTTAGACATCTTCCTTCAGCACCATTGGTACTTGCTCATATCCTACTTCCTGAAATGATGGAACACTGACTAGTTCTTTTTGGTACAGTAACTCTGCATTCCTTCCATCTTCCTTTGATACTTCCTGTAGCATTCAATCTTTTCTTAAAGAATCTTTCAATACTGCAACTCGAGTTTTGAATTTTTTCTTGAGTTCTTTCAGTTCAAGATATGCTAAGTATGTTCTTCCTTTTGGATTTTCAAACTCTTGGTCTTTGCAGACTTCATTATTATATTCGGCTTCGTCTTCTCAAGCTGCCCTTTGAAAACTTTCTATTCAGCTCTGTGGATTCTAACAAACTATGGACAACATTGAGAAGAATAGTACTTCCAGAATACCTTATAGGACTCATACAGAACTTGTACGTGGATAGAGGTAGCTGTACAAATGGAACAAGAGACTACTGCATGGTTTACTATCAGAAAAGGTGTGCAATAGTGCTGTATCCTCTCATCATATTTACTTAATCTATATGCTGAGCAAATCTTCAGAGAAGCTGGTTTATATGAAGAAGAATGTGGCACCAGGATTGGAGGAAGACTTATTAACAACCTTCAAAATGTATGAGACAAGCTCGTTTGCTTTAAGTGAGGCAGACTTGAAGCACGTGATGATGAAGATCCAGTTTGGCAGCCATCAGCATGGATTAAAACTCAATGTAAAGAAGACCAAATTCTTCACAATTGGACCAATGGGTAGAATCACGATAAATGGATAAAAGGTTGAAGTTGTCAAGGATTTTGTCTTGCTTGGATCCACAACCAGTGCTCATGAAAGCAGCAGTTAAGAGATTGAGAAATATTGCATTAGAAATCTGTTGGACAAGACTACTTTGAGTACTGGAAAGCTAGGATGTTACTTTGGAAACTAAGGTACGCCTGACTCATGCCATGGTATTTTCAATGGCCTCATATGCATGTGAAAGTTGGAACTGAATAAGACTGAAGAAGAATCTATGCATCTGAATTGTGGGGCTTGAGAAGAATACTGAAAGTGCCATGAACTGCTGAGAGGACAAAAGTTTGGAAGAAGTTCACCAGAGTGGCCCTTAGAGGCAAGGATAGCGATTTTGACTTACATGCTCTGGACTTGCCGGGAGAAACTAGTCCCTGGAGAAGGACATCATGTTTGATAAAGCACAGGGCAGTGAAGGAGAAGGCGGCCCTCAAAGAGATGGAGCAAACCCCTGCCTGCCACAGCAGGCTCAAGCAGGAGAACAGTTGTGAGGACGATGCAGGATCGGGCAGTGTTTGGTTCTGCTCTGCAGAAGTTCATTAGGGGTCCGAGTCAACCCCCTAACAACAGTGTAAAACATAACAAAATATGTCAGCAAATAATTTAGGGGTAAAAAGATAGTAATGTATCCCTTAAACATAGGACAATATCTTCAACGTCAGACCAATTCTCACTTCTCAGGCTGGCAAAATGCGAAAAATTTGTTAAGCCCTCCCCTGGCAAGATCAGAAAGACACAGGCACTCTCCAATATTGCTGATACAAACATAACATGAATGACCCGGTAACATAAAACTATATAAACGTCCCCTGTAAACGGACACCTACTTCTAATAATTCATCCTATACTCCAAAAATAATAACATTTGTACGCAGTATTTTTTATGCATAATTTGCAACTGAAAATATCAAAACCAACCTCGAGGGCTGTTACACAGAAGCCTGATTAAGTAAGCTAGAGTACATCTACTAATGAGTACCATTTAGGTATAGAAAAGGAACATGGGAAATCTATATGAACTCATAATGTGAAAGAGCAAAATGAGAGACTGTACCTATCATTGATGGGTGCTATGTAATCCATTCGCCTTATAAGGACCCGATGTAACATAGGCAAACAGTCCCAGAGGGTTCTTCTGAGCTATAATCATTGCAAGAACAGCTCTAGAGTTCTTTCTTTCATAGTGCTGGGGGGTCGGTTTGAACTCAGACACCCTTTACGTTAGCATCCAAATGTTTAACTGTTATTACCAGAGCCCCTAAATTATACAATTTAAGTACTGAAGGTGGGGGTATAAACATGTAGCTATCTGCCTCCACCAATGTCTGTCAGTTTGTCATACTGTGGAGGCTTTGGTGTTGCTGTGATGCTGAACGCTATGTTACTGGCATTTCAAACATTAGCAGTGTTACTCAAGGTGTCCACGCTAGGTTTTAGCAGAGCTTCCAGTATAAGAACGAACTACGTAAAAAAAAAAATAGGCTATCCAGTGAACAGTCTGGAGGAGAAAACAATGGGACCGATGGTTCCGGGGGACATGGGAGAGGGGGAGGCAGGGGAAAGGAGGTGGTGTTGACCAACCTAGGGACAAGGGAGCAACAAGTGAGCAAAATTAGTGACAAGGAGGGTGTGAGAGGCG